AGGACTAAGAATGTTGAGTATTTTTATGTTTGCTTGCCATCCATAAAATGTCTTTTTCAGTGAAACATCTGTTCAGAGCTTTTGTCTTTTACTGGTTTCCTTATTGTTGAACTTTGATTGTCTTTGTTTTGTTTTCATTTTTGAGACAGGGTCTCACTATGTAGCTCAAGTTGGCCTCGAACTTTCAGTCTTCCTGCCTCAGCCCCTGAGTGCTATGGTTATAGGTGTGCACCACCACCATACCCAGCTTGATAGGTTTTTTTCTTGAAGTTTTAGCAAGGACTCATTTTAGTATAGCAGGATAAAGTAGGGAGAAGTGAGGGGAAGGAGTATTTCCTGCTCCCTATGCAGGAAATGGGAGTGACAACTCCCATAATTCTTTTTTGGGGGGGGGCACTGGAGTTTGAACTCAGGCCTCATGCTTGCTAGGCAGATGCTGTTACTGCTTGAGCCACTCCATCAGCCCTTTTTTTTGTGATGGGTTTTTATGAGATAGGGTCTCAACCTATTTGTCCAGGGCTGGCTTCCAGCTGTGATCCTCCTGATCTCTGCCTCTTGAGTAGCTAGGAGTAAAGGTATAAGCCACTGGAGTCTGCCCCAGTAATTCTTTATATACTCTGGAAGTACGTCCTTTATCCAGTATGTTTTGCAAAAATGTTGTTCAAGTCTGTGGTTTGTCTTTTTATCTGCTAGTAGTGTTTGGATGTTTGATTTATTCTGATAGTCTGTCCCGTGGACTCCATTGCCTTGAGCTCTGTCCCCTTTCCTTTTCCTTGGAACCTCCCCAAAGATGAAAGCTGGAGCAGTTATAGGCTTGCCTTGTATATTTCTCATCTTTCAGGGATTACTGTCCTGCATTATGGGTGTCTGATGCTTAAATCCATTGCCTCAGCTATGTTTCATTTAGGTTTCTTAAGTTGTATAGGGAGAGGGTTTATTGGTTGGTTAGGAACTATGTGGCTCAAGTTGGCCTCCATCTTGGCTGAAAATGGAGATCTTTGCTACTTGTTTTGCCATCACAGCCTCTCCTATATCCTACATTCAAAGCTGACTAGCATTGCTTCTGCTCCAGAAAACTAGGTGCACATTCATTCCTGCATTTTAACATCTCTGCTTCCCTCCTGCATCATCTCCTCCCCCAGTCTTCCCAGTCAGAGCCATACATAAGGATCATTCCTCTCCATTGGGCAAGTCCTCCTTCTGGAACCTCCTTGTCCTGTAGTCTGTATGGCACTCAGTCCCATACCATGCTTCTCATCTCTGGAGATACTGTTTAGCTTTTGGACTTGGATTATGGAAAATCCCCTCCTCAGGCCTAAGGAGTACCACCCTCCCCAGTCCTTCCCCATGAAAGTGAAGTAGTTGGAATTGACAGAAGGTAAATTTCTCCTGTGAAATAGCTAGGAGAATAAGGATCCTAGGCAAAGATCCTGCTTTCTGGCTTTTATGTTTCCTGACATAATAGGGAAACACTGCTCTTCCTTGTCCCATGTGAGCTCAGAGACTGTGAGTTAGACATTGTCATAGACCTACAGACTGCCTTGAAAGCATCTCTATCTCCAAGCCAGCTCAGCAGATGTGGAGGCGTGTCCTGCTTGGGTACCCTGTCTGGGACCAGTCAGAGAACTGAGGCAGCTCACCTCAGGCAGAGCAGAGCATCGTCACTGCCTGTGACATTTGGAGGCAGCTCAGCACTGCCCTTGATGGAAATAACAGGAACTCGGGGCAGTGGGAGAGGCGGTCTGTCTCTGTGTCTTGTGCAGTGTGTGTACTTCACTGCATCAAAATAGCCTTCCCGGCTCACAGGCATGTTCAGATTTGGCAAGAAATAGGATAATTCTTCATAGATAGACTATATTACTTAAATTGTAGGTTACAGCCTACTAGCATGTCATGAAATAAATTTTGTGGGTCACAATCAGCTTCTTTTAAAAAATGAGAAGTATACCACATAACTATAATCTGTACATTTTGTTTTGTGTATACACACACAAATTGTGTGTTGTGTCTCCAAACACTGATCTGGTCATTACAAATCAGAAAAGTGCTCGGTGGTCTTGGTGGCTGTGGTCATTTGTTGCTCCTCTAGGAGCACCCTGCACTAAAGTAGTAAGTGAATCAAAGATTCACCTCACCCCATTTAGGGTGCATTTAGCTGCAAGTAACTGAAAACCTGACATAAGCCCAAGCAGAGCTTTTGTATATGTCCGATTTTATTCTTTAGAGCATTTTTGATTCTCAGCAAAGCTGAAAGGAAGGTACAGAGATTTCCCATGTGCCTCCTGCCCAACACATGCATAGCCTTCCCCATTATCAGCACCTTCCCTGAGAGTTAGGAACCTACTCAGAATCCCAAGGTCCACAGTATACATTGCACTTGCTCCTGATGTACATTCTGGGTTTGCACAAATGTACAATGATGTCTTCCACTACAGTATCATAAAGATTATTTTCCCTATCCTAAGTATCCTCTATGTTCCATGTGTTTTACCTCCTTCCCCCACAATGCCCCAGTCTTTTTACTGTCTCCATAGTTTGACTTTCAAAGCAGCTTTTAATCAGTTCAGGGCACTGGCATGACTATCCTCTCATGGTCCCAGCTGTGGCTCTAGACATCACATAACATTCAAGAACTGGAGGTGAGAGCTTTCTTCCTGAGTGTCTGTCTCACTCGCTCCCTCCCTCTTTCCTTCCCTCTTTCCTTCCCTCTTTCCCTCCCTCTTTCCTTCTCTCCTTCCCTCTCTCTCACCAGTGAAGTAGGACTTTTCCTGGAAGACTAGTAGATGTTCACAGTAGGTGAAGCAGTACCTGAGCTAAGTAGGCCCTAGTGCCCAAGCTAGCCCATTTGCCCACACCAGTCCTGGCATAGGGAAGGGCATAGATTGATTCCAGTTCATCTCCAAGGCTGGACTGTTGCTGATCCTGGAAAGCAGATTCTCAGTCAGAAAGAAGAGTGGGCGCTGTGACTCTGTGCTGTGCCACAGCCTTGGTGCCCCTTTGGGCATGTTTTCCTCTTTTGTTTAGCTAGCCTTCGTAGTCAGTCTCATAGACCAGGGAACATACTTCCATACTGGGCCCCAACTCAGGACCTGCTCAAAAGAGCACAGACCAGGAAGAGCCTGTTTCTGGTTATTGGTCTCTTTCATGATTCACAGTCCCAATTTGACTAAATAAAGCCTTTCCATAGAGCCAGGTCCCATCATTCACTGACTCTGACCTTGGTGGGTTACAGAGCCTTGGAGTTGGTTTCTTTGTTTCTGTTACACACAGTTTTGCAAGGTGAGTGGGCAGGCTTGCCTGTCCAAGGAAAGAACTCAGAATCATGGCCTCCTTCTACCCTTATCTCTGGGCTCATGAGTTGGGCTCAACCTGTGAAGTAGAGCTTGCAATGGGCTTGTGTACAGTGGGGAGCATGGAGACTGGTTTTCTCCAGGTTGCTCATTATCAGAAAACTACTCAAGTTGTGAGTCTGTCATTTCTTGTGCTCAGTGGTGATTGTGTTCTGGTAAAGGAACAACTGAAATGTGCACCTAACTCACTGCTTTTGGGGTGCCAGTTTCTGTTTGTGCTCAGACTTGGAACGGGAGCAGGTCTTGGAGCAGAACTAGGTCTCACCCTCGTCTGCCTCCCATCCTCAGCTCCAGGCTTTAGGCAGTGTGAGTGCCTATTCTGCTCCAGGACATCCGTCTCCCCTCCTGCAGTCCCCCGCGCTACCCACGCTACCCCTCCTCCATTTCCTATTTTGCTAAAGTCTGCATGGTCTGGTGATTGTGATAACACTCCCAATTCATCTCTGATCCCTGTCCTGCTTTCAAGTGTTGACATTGACTTTTGGGTTGGGATTTTGTTGGGATTTCCCTCCTCCCTTGAATAGAGTCTTATTTTGGTGAGTCTTCTGGGTGATTCTTAGAACCTTGGTTGGCCTACCCTTAGCCTCCAATAAAATCAGTTTCTGTCAGTTCTGTGCCAACAACTGGCTGGCCCTTTCCAGCATTAGGGTTCTAGCGTGAGAGCTTTCAGGACCTCAGTATCAGCTATCACAATTGGCCGGTGCTAGCTTCCGGACGAACCAATGCTGGCGGTGTTTGTGGAAAGGGAGCTGCAGATGTCTATCACAGATGCCCGCTCCTCTCTCACAGCACTCAACCCACTGGGTTCTCCACCTCTGGAGGTCCCTTTTTTGCTGGAGGATGCAGCAAAACAAGTGACATGAGTATTGCACAAGTTCTTTTGTTTCTCTAGTTTTGCCCAGGTTGGGTTTCACTTTTTTCTAGGAAGATTGTGACAACTCAAGAACCAATCTTTGCCCGGGTGCCTGGTTGGTATGAGGCCCTTGGCACCAGAATCCTGGGGAAAGCTGTCATCTACTTTGTCTTGCCACCCTCTGTGGTGCTGAGAGGGTTCTTCTTTCTGAACACCAGTCACCCAGCCTGGAGAACAGCAACGTGGGGATAGGGAGCCACAGGGGAACTTTGGGGTGGCAGTGGTGGAGGGGGGCTGGAAGAGCAGTGTGTATACATGTTACATGTAAAAGGTGACGGGACTGGCAAAGTGACTCAAGTGGTAAGAGTGCCTGCCTAGCAAGCATAAGGCCCTGAGTTCAAATCCTAGTGTCGCCACAAAAAAATTAAAAAGTGACAGGGAATCAGGACATATTGCCTCTTGCTTGGTAAGCCCTTGTGTGAGCAAAGGGACCACAGTTACTTGTAATTAGGGAAAGTTGCAAGGTAGACAGCCCCGAGAAGTCAAAGTCTTTTGTGATTGGCTCACTACTCAATATCCAGAAAGGGCCCCACAGACCTGGATGAGTGGCTCTACTACAGCTCCGTAGCTGCCCAGTGAGGTCACAGGGGGTCCTCTTGGAAATCAATTCTCCCAGGTTTAGAACACCAGCTGGAGTTTTAGCACTGACATCTGTGATGGGTCCTGTGCTGCTAGTTTCTGACCTGCCTCATGTCATTTTTCCTGGTTGATCATGTTACAACTGCCCTTTTCCACAGGGATGCTTGAAGACGGAAAGAAATTCGATTCTTCCCGGGACAGAAACAAGCCCTTTAAATTTGTGCTAGGCAAGCAGGAGGTGATCCGAGGCTGGGAAGAAGGGGTGGCCCAGGTGTGTATGCTCTCATTTGTTTTGTCTTGTTTCTTAGTATCCACCTTTTAAATTATCTTTACAGGTAGTACATTCACATGAGTTAAAAGTCAAAAGGCCTACCACATCTACATAATACCCTGCACATGGCTCCTGTCATTAGTTTCTCAGATTAGTTTCTCTGCACATATGCAGAAACATACTTTTCTCACGGTTATACACCCACACACCGTTCTGTGCTTTGCTTTTTCGCCTAGTCAATTTTGGTATTCCATATCAGGACATAAAAAGGGCTACAGGCTGGATATGGATGTGGGATGATTTATTTGCAGGTGTTGCTATTGCACCAGCTCACAGCAAGTCTTGCCAGTTCGCCTCTTGGGATCACACTCTGAACTGTCCCTGCAGATTTTGAAGGTGTTGTTCCCCCCTGTGCCACCAGTAGTGTGCTATTAACTTTTGCCCTTGGGACAGTGAAAATTAGGGTCTCACATAGTTTTCAGTTACTTGTCTTATTGATGACATCAAACCACCTCAGAGGTCATGAAAAAGTCATTTTGTTTGTCTTGAATCTGTTTTCTGACCTGTTCCTTCACCATTTGTGGAAATTATTTTTGTTCTGCCAACACTACAGACAGACAATGGGACAGTGGCTGTGTTGTATACCCAAGTGCTGTAGATGCTATTGGGATCGCATTACCAACCTCTACTTCACAGGAGACAGCAGGAGACCCAGGGTTGCCAAGTTTCAGTTGGGTTATTTTTTTGTTGTATGGGGATACATTGTGACATTTACAAAAGAAATATATTATAGTTGAATTCACTTCCTCCATCATTCTTTATTCCAGCCATCCCCCCACCCCACCCCCACCCTGGCCTCAGTTGAATTTTGTCTTTCCATGGAGCCCAGGAATTTTTCTTGCCTTTTATCACGTAAAAGGATGTTTATAGTGGGCTGACACTGAGAGGGCTTTATAATTAGATTATGTGTAGCAAGGAATTAATCTGTTTCCCTCTCACCAAGGAGAACTGGAAATTTAATCAAGACAATGGAAGACTTCTGTCTCTTCCAGAATACTCATTGTTCCACTTCCTCTGTGATTTATCTCCAGATAAACTGCTTGACTTTTAGAAACTTTAAGCCTTCCCTTCTGAAAGTGTCTGGGTCTCTGTTCCTATATGGCAGAGGGTTGGCAGTACATGGAAGAGGCCATTTGTGGTTATCTGCCCTTGGAAAACCTTGCCAACCATACCATTTTGCCCCTTCCCCCATGACCTGGCCATCTTGTGGGTCTGTAACCCACCCTCTGTCTCCCATGCCAACCATTGTCTGTCTACAACCCATCTTCTGCGACTGAACGTTGAGACAATGAGTGTGTTGTATACCCCAAGTGATAGAGATGCTACTGAGATAGTGTTACTTACCAACCTCTACTTCACAGCCCAGGCTTGGTGAGACAAGATTAGGGACTGGGAAATACCTACCTTCTTTTACCCAGTGCTTTGGGGTCATTCCCAGCCCTGTCACTTGTGAGAAGTCTGAGAACTACCTAGCACATCTAGAATTTGTCCTCAGCAAATGATTTGAAGGGATGTTGTCACTGTGACAGTTTTACATGTTTCCAGGTATGGAATCCTTCCACAACTCCTTTTTTTTCATCTGACAATGTCTTGGGCATCTTCCCATACTGGTACATTAAGAGCCACTGTATTCTTTCTGACTGATCCATAGTGTAAGATGCCTATGGATTAGAATATTCTAGAAGTAGAATTGCTGAGTAAAAGGAGACTGTTTTTGAATTTTATTAGATAAAGTCATAAGCTTTTTTTTTTTTCCCCTTAAGCCATAAGCTAACATTCTTACCACGTTGGTCCAGTGTGTCCCAGTTTCTGAGGAGCAGTGGGAAGAATAGATTCTGAGTTGCACTGGAAGCTCCATTATGTTCTCGGCTTCCTCTAGTCACCATCAGGAATTGCACATATGGAGTCCAAAAGTCGAAATAGAGGGATAGAAATACAGCTCACTGTTCGGAACATAGATGTTAACTTATTTGTGCATTTGATTAGAAACTGTAAAAACATTACAAAATTAGTATTTTTAAATGAAAATCTTCCCTCTGTTCTGGACACTTTCCACATTGTTCTCTCCATAGAAAAGACCTAGGATTATTGGTGTCCTCCTAAAGATATTTTCCTTTTATACAGTGGGTACATATGTATAAGAATTTTCAGACAATGGCATATTGTACTTTCTTTTTGTACTCCAGAAAATCATATTGTCTGTTTTGTAGTTTTTCAGTACAAAAGTATAAAAATAAACTATCCCAAAATTATTTTATCTGTTTGTTTCTTTTAATTGTTTAATATTTTTAATTTTTCATTGTACTGTAGTACAATGTGACATTTATAAAAGTTCTTATTCTTACAATATATCATAATTGAATTCACCCCTCCATCATTCTCTTTCATCCCCCGCCCCCACCTCATTCCTGGAGTAGTTTCACCAGTCCTCATTTTTCCATTTACATACACATGTACACAATATTTCCACCATATTCATCTTCCTACACCCTTTCCTTATAGCCTCCTCCTCCCATTGGTACCAACCCCCCAGACAGGACATGTATTGCCTTCATGTACCCTGTTTTTGAAAAAGAAAAAAATGACATTTTTGTTTCTTAAAGATAGCTATACAGGTAGTTTCTTTTAAAGCAAAGACTTGATCAAAGTGTAATTGGCCCTCTGTATTCCAAATTTCCACACCCATGGATTCAGTTGACTACAGATCAAAAATGCCCAGGGGAGAAAAATTTTCATCTGTACTGAACCAATGTAGACATTTTTCTTGTCATTGCTGCCTAACCAATAGAGTATAAAACTATTTGCACAGCACTTACATTGTATTAGGTATTGTAAGAGATGATTTAAGTCTGTGAGAGGATGTGCATAGGTTATATGCACATATATTTTATATAAGGGACTTGAGCATCCACAGGCTTGGTATCCTTGAGGTGCTGGAATCAATTCATGAATACCCAGGAATGACTCCTTTACAGGAATACATGCCACTTAATCCCATGTTCTTTGAGTGACAGATAACTGAAGGACTAGGTGGGGAGACTTCAGACTTACCCGTAATCCATCAGTAAGAACTGGGTAGGAAGGTTAAGAGCGTAGCCCTTCAGAGAATCAAGAGGGACTTTTAATTGCTTTTGAGTGCCTTAGAGTCTTAACTGCCAATTTGTAAGTCATTCACAGGGGTTGGGAGGCTGTAGTCACTGGAATGCCCTCATCAACACTGGAATGCCCAAGAAACACCCAGCTAACCAGCTCTGCTTCTGCAAAGACCAGGAGTGTATTCAGCTGAGCGGTTCTTTCTTGTTCTTGTCACAGATGAGTGTGGGTCAGAGAGCCAAACTGACTATCTCTCCAGACTATGCGTACGGAGCCACTGGGCACCCAGGCATCATCCCACCAAACGCCACTCTCGTATTTGACGTGGAGCTTCTAAAACTGGAATGACAGAAGTGGCCTCCTCCCTTAGCTCCCTGCTCATGGGTAAGGAAACTGAATGCTGAAAGGCCTTAACTACCTTGCTCCTTCCCTGTTATTCCTTGTGTTTGATGGGTAGAGGAGAGAACCAAAACATGCCACAGGGCTTTCTTTTTCCACTACATTCTTTCCTGTGTTGGGTGTCCCATCAGTGTTAATCAGTGCTTACCTTTGATGTAAAAGCTGGCTACCCTAAGTAAAGAGTGGCATGTGTCTTGCAGGAACTCATGGGTATGGCAGCTTTTAATAAAGTATTTTTGTATGTAGCTTCTTAACTGAGTTGAGGTCTATGGAATCGTAGGCCAAATTTGAAACAAGACTCTTGATGACTTTGCTCTACCCTGTGTTTTTTGAAGCTAATAAGCTAGTAAGAAAAGCACCTCTGACATAGCATTGTGTCTGGCTTGTGCAGCTCTCAGCCATACAGATTGTGGTTACTACCTGTTAAATGATATGAGGGAGGTGTTTCTGCCTTGGTCCATCTGCCTTGGTGAGAAAGCCCCGGACACTAAAGGCTAGCCTGTTAACAGTGAGTGGAGCGCGAAGATGACACCAGAGGATACTTGTGAAATGGGAAGGATGTGCTCAGATTGGACAGTACTGGAAAGGGACCTTAGGGACCTGAGGCAGCCTTCTTTTGCATTAGGTGAGGAAACTGAGGCCTAGGGAGGTAGGCCTTTCCTCACGTCACATCCAAGCAGTGGCATAGGAAGACCAGAGCCTATCTCCTGGTTTCCCCTCTTCTACCCTCACTTCTTAGGACACCAATCTTAGAATCCCAGGGGTGTATCCCTTTTCACGTAGGTATTACAGTCACTAAACAAATGAATGCTATCATCTTTGTAAGTGGCTCAGACCTTCCTATTCACTCTCCTCCTGTCCCTGGAACAGGGGCTGGAGTAGGATGCTTTTGTTTAAAAGCTGTAATGAGTGGCTGCCAGCCTGTGTGGCAGTCAGAGCTGCTCAGAAGCTTGTCTTGCTGATGGCTTCTTAAAATGAGAAACTTGTTCATTATCAGCAGTCTTCCCTTTCCATGGTCTGAGCCCCTATGTAAATGCACGCTCAGGTAACATAGGCCTGGTCAGGTTTGATAGTGCTAGCGTCTTTCCTTGTCATTTCTGCCAGGAGGGAATCTTAGACATCACAGAGCCTCTGTGTTCTCAGAGGTCTACACCTAGTTCAGACCCCTTTCCAGTTCTGTAAGAGCGGAGTTCTTGGAATATAGATGCATCCAAGGGAGCCCTGGAGCTCTGCTGGTTTGGGGTACAGACTCTAAACCTGGAGGGAAGGGAAGGAAAAGGACATGATGAGGGGCTACAAGTCACCCTGACCTATCCCCCACTCACACCTGTTTGCCAAAAAACATCACAGTAATTCTTATCAGGGTCTGGAAGAAAAGCTGGAGCAGCCCAGCAAGTTGTAGGCTTGAGTGAGCAAATGCAGAGATATTTTCCAAGTCTATTCACCATGACAAATGATGACAAATGCCATTTCAGGCCTGTGGCTCTCAATCTGACTACACAGGAAGACCTGAGAAGCTTTTAAGACCACCCCTAAACCAGGTAGTCAGTCACTGGGGGTAGGATCCAGACCTTCAGATTTTTCTTCAAGCCCCCAGGTGATTCCTATACATAGCCAATTTGGAGACCTAGTGCTAATGGGAACTGTGGTCAGCATAGAGGACAGCGCTCCTGCTGTCCTCAGCAAACTAAACCTTAGGCTAACGGCAAAAGCAAAACAAGAAACGTGCCAATTTAAGCAGAACAAGGGTGCTCACCGGGGAACCTAGCCTGAGCCCATCTGGCTCTCAGCTGCTGGGGGCGGGGCTTGGCACAGCAGATGGCTTTGTAGCTGTCCCCACAAAGAACACTAAGTTGCTGGAACTCACAGATTTCTGTCCCCAACAGATCTGCCATGGAGGGATCTGGTGCCTCCAGACGTGCGCACACAAATCCATGCGGAGCTCTCCTGACGTCCCACAACACTGTATAAACACCTACCCTGCCTGAATGTGTCTGTCACTCAGCTTCGCTCTGACACCTTCGTTTCTTCTCCCCCTCTCTGTGTACGTGTGTTTACCTGAACTATATGCCATAAACCTCAACTTACTCGTTTTATTTTGTCTTCATTTTGGGGTGAAGATTCAGTTTCAGTCTTTTGGATCTAGGTTTCCAATTAAGTATATTGTCGAGTATTAACAGCACAAGTGATGGGTTAACTTTAGAATAGGAATTGGTGTTGGGGGGTGGGGGTTGCAAGAATCTTTATTTTATTTTTTTGAATGAAATTTTTATTATATATTAAAACATTCTTGCTGCTGCGCTGCAAAGCCATAGCAGATTTGAGACGCTATTGAGGGCTGAATTCTAATGTATGAGATATTCTTTGGTTAAATTAAAAGCCCTACCCAAAACTGAAGTGGGGAGGGGGAGAGCCTTTGCCTCCATCAGCCCCTCCCCCACCCCTGAAACCCTCTGCCTTTTAAAGCAGATCATTTTCACTGCAATGTAGGACACTACAGGTATCTGTCCTTGGGCCAGCAGGGACTCTGAAGCCTTCATGACCTGATTTGATTTTGTTTTTTGTTTTTCCATCATGGTTTTTCTAGTGAATTTTCAGGACTTTTATAATCTCATAATTATCCAAGTTCCACTTCCTAAATTTTAAGAACTTTAATTGAAAGTTTAAATTGAAGGTGCTGTTTGTAGACTTACCACCCAGTGAAAGTCCAGCCATCATGACAAATCCTTGAGTGTTCTCTATGAAAATGATGCTGGTCATCGCAGCTTCAGCATCTCCTGGGTTTTGATGCTTGGCGCTCTGCTGATAGCAGTTTCCTGGCTTTTTCCTCCCTTGGCTCCTCACCCTTTGCTGTCCTGTGTAGTGATTTGGTGAGAGAGACTGTTGCTTTGTTCCTCCCCTCCCCACCTGCACCACAAATGAGTTTCAAGTTTTATTATTGCAATAAAAGTGCTTTATGCTGGCTTTTCTCAGCTCTGTGTCATGATTGTTCGTTGGGAAAAGGGGTGGGCTGGTGGCAAGAGGATAGTGTCCGAGGTTGTATCTTTGCAGAAGAACAGCAGCAGTGAGAAATCCTTCCCCATTGGCCACCTAGGAAGGGTGGAGTAGAGGGGTCAGACTGGGATGGCCAGGGATTACCCTCCTCCATCATCATTCTCTGCTCCTTGACTGTATTCTTGAATGTGTGCTGGGTTCTCAAGTTACCAAATGAGGGTATAGTCACTTCTCAAGAAGGGAGTCGCTCCAGTTGGAGATGTGTACAAGCACAGTGACGAACTATGAAGGGAAGATTTTTGGGTGTGAGTTGGTGTTCCTCAGTGACTTGGGGTGTGGCAAGACTACCATGTGGACACGCTGAGTTTGCTGTCCGTTCTCTGTGTGTGCTCCTACAAACACAACTCCCTCTCTTACAGAGTTATAGAGACCATCCACAAAAATGTTCCTGTACCCCAGAAAGATGCCTTCCCAAACTGCCATGGTTGAGAGCCATCCATTTCAAATATAGAGGTTGTTCAAGGACTCTTACAATGATTTTCTAAATCACTCCTTTTACTAGTTTTAACTTAGATTGCTGGAGTCATAGCCTAGGGTCTGACTTTCCGCAAGGTTTGTTTATAAAATTTACCAACAAAGTAAAGGGTTGCTTTAGTGAATACCTGATTGTCTTATAAAAATGTACCTATTGGTCACACGTCTATCCACCAATCCATCCTTTGTCACATTCTCTGTAACTGGCAGGCATCACTACAGTTCTCCTTATTAGTTACAAGCTAATAAATTACCATTGTCTTAAACCATGTAATTTGTTACAGCAACAAGTAGGAAACTAAGACCTTTTAAAAAAAAAATCAGTATTAAAAAAATCTATATAGGACCACCCTAACAAATCCAACTTCAATTTCTCTTCTAGTTTTTGCCCTAAGCACTAACTCCCCTTTTTACACCCTTCACCCCCATGCTGGGGATCCAACCTAGGGCCTTCAACATGCTAGACAAGGTTTGTACCACTGAGCTACATCCTCAGCCCTTGTGTTTTTGAGATAGGATCTCATGGTGCAGCCCAGACTAGCCTCAGGTTTGCGAGCCCTGCCTCCAGCTCCTAGGCATTTAGAATTTTAATTATAGCATAATACAAATTTTGCATTTCTTTTCCTCCCACTTAATGTTTTGTCACAAGAGGTTGTGTAACTGAATACACAGTAGCCTTGGTATTTCATTGAGGAAACGTGAATGCTCGGATGAGTTCGGTGCTATACCATGGGAGCTTGGTTTAGGGATGTTTTCATCTGTTTAAAGGAGAATTGAAAGAGCAAATACATAAGCCCAGCAGGAGTGCTGGAGAATATTTTGCATAAAATATATAAAACTGGCAAAATTGGCTAAAATCCACAGCAATAATTGCATTCCACTGGTCAAAATTTGCATTTCTGTGGAAGAGAATCAGCTATATTACCAATTTCCCTCAACTTATATAATTGTATAGTAATTTAAAGGCCACTAAACTTGTGGAGGACCCGGAAGGGTGGGCTGGATACAACACCCTTGGGGACCTATTTCTAAGCCTTCCTCAGGCTTGGATGATTTCCATTTTTTTTTTCCCCCTTCAGTACTGTGGTTTGAACTCAGGGCCTCATCTCATGCTTGCTAGGCAGGCACTCTACCACCTGAGCCAACACTGCAGCCCCCTCCAATTCTTTGCTTTTCTTAAAACTTTAAAAGCCAATACTTAAGACTCCAGGATAAAATACTAGAAGAGGGACTGTAGAGTCAAAGATTTACTGGCTCATGTTGCCAAGTTTGTTAGGCCAGAGTTGTGTAAATTTCTTCCACACTAGAAAATGAGCCATTTCCCATGGCAGAAAACGGGCTCTCATCCCCATGGCATCCTAAAGAAAATGAAGAATTTTCCACTCTCCAGAAGCCCTCTGCCACGACTTAAATGTGTATTTCTCCCAAGGTTTACTCATTGGAAACGCAATCCCAATGTGGCAGTGTTGGAAGGGGGCGCCTTACTGGAAGTGTTTGAGCATGGGGGCTCTGCCCTTGTGAACAGATTAATGCCATCACCACAGGGGTAGGTTTGTTGCTGCTGCACTGGTCTTCTTAGGAAAGGATGAGTTCTGTCCCCTGTGGCTGTCCTCCTCCCTGACTTTGCATCTCCATCTTCTTTCATGCATGGCACAACCACAAGGCACTTAATAGATGCTAGCCCCTTGGTCTTGGACTTCCTGGCTTCCAGAACTAAGAGAAATGAATTTCTGTTCGTTATACCCCATCTGTCATATTCTGTTAGAGCAGCACAAAGTGAACTAAGACTTCCATTCTCTCACTTTCATTGAGAGAATGGAAATCTGTGGAGAATTGATGGCCTGGGGCAGGGATGGGGAGAGGCCCTGAGTTATGCTCAGCCAGAGCCCCTGGACATAACCAGCTGTGTTAATAAATGAGCAGGGGCCCAGGTGGAAATGGCTTATGGTGCTTACTGACTACGTTTTAATTTCTTTTTATTTTTGAGAAGCCTGATGGTTATATTCAAAGTCCCAGGATTCAGGAAAACTTGTTTCTAATTCTTCCATCTGCTAAGGCTTCTGCTAAGGCTTAGACATCAAATTACCCTATGTCTGAGTTTTTCTGTTTGTTAAATGGACCAAAGGTGGGAGTAGGAACATAGGTGTTCAAAGTGTCCAGACAAACTAAGATAGCTTCCAAATCTAAAATGTTAATTGTTTGAAACAGATGGTCCATGTGAGACCCTTCCTGCCATGGCAACCATACCCCCAACCTCTCCTGTGAAAATCATGATGAAAATTAAAACAGCACACCATCAGCCCGAACTTGTTCCAGGAAATAACTCCAGAAACTTCACCCCCTTCCTCTTGAGAAGGGCTCCCAAACTACATGTTTGCCCCTTGCTAATCAAGAATTTACTAAAGGCCAGTTAGTCTCTCTCTCTGGCTTCCACAAAATCCTACCCTAACAGAACATTGGCCAACACAGCACTCTGTATTTGCTCTTTGTCTTCTATAAACCGTACTCTCAGACAACTTCAAACCCTACTGGAACAAAGGTGACTGCTGAAGGTTTCCTCGACGAGTTTATGAACAAGCAGCTTTCGTTGGTTTCATCTTGGACTTAGTTTTCTCTCTCACACATGTGGGGTGTAGGTAAGAATTCTGTCCTTAACACAAGTCCTGAATAAAGTTCACTCTGATTAACAGCCTTGAACTACTCTAGCTTCTCGCAGAACCATCAAGAAGCCAGCGTGGGGATTCTTGTTCATACCTCTAATTAAATTTGGTGAACCAATAAAGGATAGCAGACATCAAAAACGGATTAAAATTAAAATGCCAAGGGCAGTATTCCCCTGGCTTCTGCCCAGAGAGTGTGATGAGTTCATCTGAGTTCCAGGCATGCATCAGGAAGCTCCGCTATGCACCCATTAGAGGCCGGGCTTTGCAGGGCAGCTGGCCTGCATAGCACTCAGCCAACAGCTGTCAGCTTCCGTTAGAAAGGTAGAAATCTATGCCAGTGGGTATGCATGTGTGGCTGGTGTGCTGTTGGATCTGCCTGCTGATGACCACTGTCATTTTTCCTGTTTTAAGAGCATTTGTTTTTTGCAGTGGTGCTGGTGTTTGAACTCAGAGCCTCACACTTGCTGGGCAGATGCTCTATGACTTGAGGCAAGCCCCCAGCCCCCATCTTAACATTAATTTCCATTACTTCTCAAGCAGCACATACCCAAGATTTAGGAAAATAAATTCAGTTAACCAGAGTATACCTAGGGTTAGGTCCACCTGTAATCAATGCCATGCTAGGTGTTAGATACAGGACGGACCAGGAAGGTTCTATCTCCAACAACCTTACATTCTAGTGAAGCTGACCAACACATGTAAGGAAACAATGTTGGAGATCCAAGCCTAAAAGCTGGGAAGAGCATGAAGTAGCCAAGTGTGGTCCTGGAAGAAAGTTGTTCTAGGCTTATGGAACGGTGTGAAGACCCTGCGGGGTGCACATATGGGAAGCAGGAGAAACAGCAGTGACAACTGCAGATGGGAAGAGGTGGGAGGAGCCAGGTAAGGCAGAGCGTTACATTGTAGATGTAATGAGCATGACGATGCAATTGGTGGATTTCCACAAGGGAGTGATACCTATTTATCTGTAAACAATTTCTGAAAACTGGAAAATTGAGTGAAAGCTGGTCTGCCAAGATAGCCGCCAAACATCTCTCTACAGCCCTTGAATCATGGCTAGCCTTGTGCCTACTCTGACCACAGGAGACAGTGGAACTGCCTTAAGACTACCAGCTTCCCTTTCCTTCCTCTTGGAACACCAGTCTGAGCCTCCTTATGTGGAACAACTACACAAGGGGACTTGAAACCCACAGTCCCACCTGAGAACTCAGTCCACTACCAACCAGAGGAAGCAGCCCCGGGGACATCGCGCAGTTGAGCTTACAGGTGCCCAGAGTCCCAACAAAAGCTCACGGAGGGAGAAATCACTCCACCCAGCCCAGGAACCTGTGCTACTACATAGCTTGGTTTTGAAGTGGTTTATTTCATAGCAGTAGATAACAAACGGCAGGGCCAAAGGATATCAGTAGCCAGCTGTTGGGGTTATCTAGGCAAGAGATAATGGAACCCTTGACTAGATAGACTGGTGAGTGGTCAGATTCAACATTCACTGTATTAGTGCAATTTCTGAGTTGGGAATGGGAGGGAAAGAGTTCTAATAGAAGACCGTAATTCCAGGTGTGGTAGTGCTTGACGGTAATCCCAGCACTCAGGAGACTGAGACGGGTCTGAATCCTGAGTTTGAGGCCAACCTGGGCTGCATAGCAAGACCCTGCCTCAAAAACAAAACAAAACCAAAAAGCAGCAATTCTGCCTGGTCCTTCGCTCCAAGCCACTCTTTAGAGACCATTTTAGAATCAGCTTTCTTTCTAACGACCACCACCACACTGCATCAAACATGGG